CCCCCTCTCTCTCTCTCTCTCCCCCCTCTCTCTCTCTCTCTCTCTCTCTCTCTCTCTCTCTCTCTCTCCCTCCCCCCCTCTCTCTCTCGTCCCATTATCCCTGCCGGAGAACGACCCTTTAAATCCAACACAAATTCGTGATCTGGAACTTACTAGTAGGGTGCGCCTTCTTGTGTCAGGACAGCAAAATGACTGAGTACTGCTGACAAAATGAGTTACTTCTTTCGGATATTAGTAAAGGTTTTACGGCGCTATATGAGCACCAGAAGATAAGAGGTGTTACAAGAGAGTAATAGACATAAGAAAGAAGAAGGTAAGATAAGGACGATAGATGTTTAATAGGAAAGAAGAAGCAAACCACACCAGATCACCCTCCAACCACCCACTTTTAGCGGTATGGTAATTGATACATCAAATTTATAGGTGATGTTTGTACAATTTGTAAGTGTGGAATAATAAAAGACAAGGTAGACTTGAACAGAATGATATCAACTGAAAATCTATAAATCTGACCCCCGTGTTGATTTTCAGCCGATATCTCCATTCTTGGATCGCGAGCAGTAAATCATTTTGTCAGCACAAATCACGACATATCAGTATGGTTGGAGTGATGGGTCGGTGGCCTAGTGGTTAGGCTCTCGGACTCGCAACCGTAAGGTCGTGGGTTCGAATCCCGTCAGGGGCCCGACGTTGGTCCTTGGGAAAGGCACTTTACACTAATTTTCCTCTCTTCACCCAGGTGGAAATGGATACCCGGCTATAGACAGTGAAAGATCTTGTCAGTTTGATAGTGTTTGAGCGCGTGAAGTCCGCAGCTTGCTCTGTATGCTTCCGCGGAAGCTGAGAATGTTTCTGAGTGTTTTCAGAGGGTCTGCTGGGGTAATAATAGTTGTAAAGCGCATAGAGCATGCTCTTGAGCATGGATATGCGCTATATAAATGCAATTATTATTATTAATATTATTTTACTGTTAATTTTTTATTTCTCACTGTTATTTTGATTTTCCCCAGAGACGCTTTTATTATTTATTTTTTATTGTTTCTCCCTGTCGTTTCGATTTCCCCCAAAGGCAGAGCAGTCGTTATCATGTCCGTTTATTTAACTATAATAGTTTATATCTGATACATAGATGGCCCTTTCATGACCAAATCTGAGTCGATAGTGCCGTAAAACACCTACTCAAACAAACAAACAAACAGACAAATCAAAGTGGGGGGTTGGCGGATGCTCTGGTGTGGTTTGCTTCTTCTTTACTATCAAACATCTATCATCTTTATCTCCCATCCTTCTTTTTTCGGGTTTGTTACTCCCTTGTAACGCCTCTAATCTTCGGCACTTATATGACCTTTTTGTGTTGCAAGTGCAGTAAAACTCTAGCTAAAACTAAAACAAATAGATAGCGCTTGCATGACCTAATCCGAGTCGATAGTGCCGTAAAACACCTACTCAAACAAACAAACAAATTAAATAAGTAAAAACCATTGACGTGGCCAGTCGTGTGGTGTATTGCCACAGTTTGAGGACACACAGCCTCCCTTTTCATTGCTCCATCCGAGCGTGTAGTGAGTGCTAGCCTGCTATCTGGTAGTAACTCCATAGTAATAGATTTCATTTGTATAGCGCTCTATCCCATACTAGTATAAGCTCTGAGCGCTTTACACCAATCACATGATCATTTGCACGAGAACAAAATATTTCACAGAAACCCCCCCCCCCCCCAGTACAACCATATAAAGAAGAACTTTCACAACCATACATTAACTGTATACACTAAAGGACAGTTGAAAAAAACTATATATATATATATATATATAAATAAAAATAATATATATATATATGTGTATCGTCACAGCTTGAGGGCACACAGTCTTCCTTTTTTACCGCTCTTTCTGAGCGTGTTACAGTAGTGCTAGCATACTATCTGGTAGTAACTCCATTTCCCCCTGTTCTGATGTTTCTGAATCGCTTTGAAAGCAGTGCATTTCTGTCGTGAAAACAGCTGGGAGTTAATTCACAATGTAACGAAAATTCCAGGAAACACAGGTGTGTTAACCGTAATAAATCTGGGAGTTAATGGATGATTTTTAAAAATCTAATTCCAGCCGTAACAGCTGTGCCGAAAACTGCCAAAAGTTGGAATTTATAGTTAGTTTTAAAATAATAATAATAAAAAATTAATAATAATAATAATAATAATAATAGTAATAATAATAACAATAATAATAGTAACAATAATAACAATAATTATAATAACAATAATAACAATAATAATAATAATAATAATAATAATAATAATAATAATAATAATAATAATAATAGTAATAATAATAATAATAATAGCATTTATATAGCGCTCTATCCCATACTAGTATAAGCTGTGAGCGCTTTACACCAATCACATAATCATTCACACAAGAAAAAATATTTCACAGAAACAAGAAAAACCAGTTCAACCACATAAAGAAGAACTTTCACAACCATACATTAACTATATACACGAAAGGACAGTTTAACCCTATCAGTACGCCCTGGTGTCATTTTGTACCCCCGTGGTTGTTTTCTTCACATTTTAGAATACTTCTAGTACGAAGATCTATTTGAAACTTTCAGTATTTCTCCAAAGATCATTTTGACAGACTGCTATGCAAAGTGTACGAATCGGATAAACCAGTAAATTTCGTCTTTGGAAAGTGGTGGCACAGAGTTCCCCACGTCGTATGGATACGATAGTAAAACACGACGTACGGGTAGGGTTAAAAACCTATAATATATCATACAACGAATGATAATAATACCATGCCGCTTGCGTGCTGGGTAATACGCCTGCAAATTACTGTAATGAGATATCACATACAGGGAGATAAGTGGTCTCCATAGCCGCTTACCTTTTTGTTTTATAGATGGTTGCATAACGTGCTGAATTACACTATTGATGAACGGTTGGCATCCGCAGGTAGTGGGACTTATGACTACAACCAACAGCTAATTATTATTTTCTGTTCACCTCATTATGACGCGGTGGCCAAAAGCGCGCGTGTAATCGGCGGCTGGTTGGTGGGCCCGCATCTAGTACGTCCTACTTCTTTTCTTGTGGGTGGTTACCGGGTGCTCTGGTGTGGTTTCCTTCTTCTTTCCTGTCAACCGAGTAACCAACATTAAAAAAAGAAGGAGACGAGGTCAGGACGATAGATTAGTTTAGTATAGGGAGTGCCGTAAAACCCTACTCTAAACTAATCTATCGTCCCGATCTCTCCTCCTTTTTTATGTTGGTTACTCCCTTGTAACAAGCTCTAATCTCCGGCACTTATATGACCTTATTGTGTTGCAAGTGCTGCAAAACTCTTGCTAAAAAACTTCTTTTCTTTTCTTCTGGCTGCTGCTTCTGCCCGTTGTGTTAACTCTGTCCTTTCTCCACTTGGACATAATTGTGTCTATGTATTCTCCCTCTTCCCTGTCTACTCGTCCTCATCCCCCCCTCTCTCTCTCT